CAAGTAAATACCAGCGAAATGGCATCTGTATCCCAATGCATCTTTCTCAGGTACAAAAATACAGACAGTATTCAGAGGTGCAATAATTCTCCATCTTCAAGCCAAATAATAAATTGTATCTCCATTTGCTATGTTTACCATACCTACATATAAATTTAACATTAGGATCAAATAAGACATGGTACTTACAGAAACACTTTGAAAAAATATATCACTACAAGTAACTACGGAGAAATTATTTAAAAATATATATAAATCACTTTTAGAGTATTCAAGGAAAGAGGAAAACCATTTTTTTCAGACAAGAAATTAACAAATAAAGAATGCTCTACTAATACAGTCACTAAAAATATTTTGAATAAAAGCAGGGAAGCAGGCTTTACTCAGAATATGGCCTTTGGTTGTTGTCAAACTGCTCTTTTATTTCTCTACAAAAATAATCAATTTGCTTAGGCTAAAAGGAAAGCCAAAACTGGAATTCTGATCCAATAGTTAAGCAAGTCTTACTTCTCAGAATCAATACAAATTTAGATGCTTTTCCTATCTCTCAGAAAACTAATCAGATTAAAAACAAATATAGCATCACTAGGAAAATTTAAACCAAGTAAAAGAACAAAGGCTGCCAGCTAGTCACTAGCTAGATAATTTTCNCTGGGCTGCCGTGAGTCAGCCCATAGCTGATTAGAAATTCAGAGACTGCTAGTTGAATTCCAATGTCCATTCTGTCTTTGTTCTTTAGTAACAGAACCATAATATTTAGCTGCAAATAATGCCATCCGGCTCAAAGATACCTCCTAGCCCCTTTTGCAGTTTTATGAGGCCATGTGACCATGAACAGGCCAAGGAGATATAAAGTACTGTAAGGAACTTCTGGGAAGTCTTTCACAAGTAGGGGTCGGCACTTCTTGTCCCTTTTCCTTGTCTCTATGAGGCTTAATTAAAAGGAAAAGAAAAAAGATAAAAGGAAGGGAGGGAGGGAGGGAGGGAGGGAAGAAGGTTGTTTGGTTGCTGGAACTCAAATAGGTATCTTGGCTCATGCGCTACCTCAGTAAAGATGGTGGCGTAGAAAGCTAGTCGGGGCACTGTAGAATCTCCATGCCAGTAAGATTACCTTCTTTTAGACTTCTTTTTTGGTGTGAGGAAAATAAATTTCTAATGGAAACCACTGTTGTTTTAGGTTCTCCAGTTCGCAAAACCTAATCTTGACTCATGCATAGGGCCTGACTGGATACTCTGTTACTGGATTCTGGTAAGAACATACTCTGTGTCGATCATATCAAAACTTAAAAACACAGGCAAAATTTAATACCAGTAATTGTCCTTTATAAATTTCTTTCTCCATTGGAATCTGTTCAGTCATTCATCATTTCATTTACCAAAAATTCATTTAGTGCTTACTATTTGTCAAAGGGACACACAAACAAGATATAGCTGCTACTATGGTCTCTAGGGTGTGAATAACATGGAAACAAATGTCATTAGTGCAATGTGCAATTGAATAGATGTACGTACAGGATACACTATAGCAAAAACAGACTGGTAATGTATAGGTGGCTGTGCACAGTGAGAGGAGGCAGGAGGAAGGGAGATCAGGAAAGACTGCTTCAAAAGTGATTCTACGGGCCGGCCGAGTGGCTCAGTTGGTTAAGAGCTCGCTGAAGAGTGTGAGCTCTGAGCAAC